GACGAGGGTGAGTAAAAATACTATTGCGAAAGCGTTTGGCGGTGTTCCAAGTAGATTGGATGGAAGATGAAGGGTTGAGATTAATACAAACTTGTTTCCAAGCTTGCCTTTTAGATTCTTTTAAGAAACGCGTGGTTGCAGCGCTGGCATAGCAATAAATGAGATAATCTTGGATTGATCCTGAACGGATAAAGGTTTTATATAAGGATTTGCGATCGGAAACTGCTTTGGTGCAAGAAGAATTCCACCACGGTGGAGAGGGGGGAAATTACAGCGGTTATTGTGTTTAATAGGAATTGTTTTCTTAGAAATATCTAAGATCATGTAAGTGAATTGTTCAAAATCTTTTAATGGACAAGTGTAGGAATTGAGGGAAGGGATTGAAGAGTTTATGAGTTGGGAGAAAAGGGGCCAATCGGCTTTATTGAGATTAAATTTAATGTTGGAGGAGAGCTCACTATGTAAGGTGGGTCTGTTATTAGGTGAGAAATTGGAAACAGTTGAATTGACAGATATAATGATGGGTAAATGATCACTACCGTTGGGGTCATCTATGATGCGCCAGGTAGGGATCCAGAATAAATTTGGGGTAGTTAAAGATAAATCAATGCACGAATTTGTAGAATTGGGTCTACCTACGTGCGTAGGTGAGCCGTTATTCAGTATATTCAGATTAACGGAGTTTAACGCGTCGTAGATTAAATTACCTCGTCTGGTGGGCGTGATGGAGCCCCAAGCAGGGTGGTGGGCATTAAGGTTCACTGTAAAAAAAGAGTTGTGCTCAGCAAGTTGGAAGAGAGAAAGCCAAACTTCAGGGGGAATAGGGGAGTCATTTGGACTGTAACAGGACCAGAAAGATGTGTTTGGTAAACTTTTATACCTATTAAATCAATGTTATTTTCTAGAAGTAGTTGTTTTAAAAAGGGATTAATTTCTATTAAAGAAACATTAAGTGAGGTGTGGACTGCAATTGCAACGCCGCCATAACCGTCAGTTCGATCTTGTCTGAATAAATTAAAGTGAGGGATAAAGCAGTTGCGGGATGGGAGTAACCAGGTCTCGGAAATGAGTATTATGGAACATTTATAGGAGGAAATGAAGTTTTGAATAGAAGGGAGTCTTGCAGGAAGACTACGGACATTCCATTGAAGAAGATTAACCATTAGAAGAGATAACGGAGGTGTTTGGAATAGAGAGACAAGACAAGAGGGATGACTCGATTAAATTTTGAAGAGAAGAGGGGGATAAAGGGGAGGGGGAGGGGGAGTTGGATAAGGATTCGGAAAGTTTGATGCAGAAGGCATCCCAAGGTTAACCCATGTTAGATCAGCATGAGTAAGTTTGGAATTCTGGGACCGATTTTTACTAGCATAATCTAAGAAGTGCCCATTTGGTAGAGAAAAATTATTTTGGTTTGGAACATGAAAATTGGTTTGTTTGGAGTAGGAAGAATGGTTGTTATGTTTCCTATGTGGTGTATGATGATAATGAGATTGAGAAGTTAACGGGGGAAAAGAACTCGTGGAAGTGATTGAGACTTGATGAGAAGGATTTGTCACAGGCTGTTTGTTAACAATATTTGAATAGCTAAATGCGCTTGAGGAGTAATTTTTTTTCTTGAGAGAGACCGCTTCACGGAAAGGTAGATTTTCAGTAGCCATAATTTTCTTAACATCCCTTTGGAATTTCCACTCTTGACAATTCCGATCGGTAGAGAGATGGGGTAGTATACAGAAGATGCATACTGGATCAGTAGAGTTGGATGAAGGGCAGGTAGTTATTGAGTGGTCATTTAAACCGCAATGCCTGCATTTAATTTTACTTCGACAGAATTTTGCCGTGTGGCCAAAGCGTAGACAGTTATTACACTGAATGGGGGAACGGACGCTGGGAGAGATTTTGAAAGTGACGTTGTAAATCGATAGAGCATCTGGTATTTTAGGGGATAAGAATTTAATTTCTACAACCCGAGTAGGAATTAAGATATTTTCTTTTTTGATTGAAACGCGTTTAAAGGCAATTGCACGGACTGTATTATTAAGTCCTTCCCAGAAATCTTCTTCGGTTAGGGAACTATCGACTCTGATTATTCCGAAAGAGTAGATGAGCGTAGATGGAATATATGCTATGAATCCGATGTTTGCGAGTAGAGAGGAGGAGAGAAAGTTGTTTGCAGACATTTTAGTATTAAAGGTGATTTTTATTTTTTTGTGACCAATTGGTTTGATGTTGTCTATACCATCAAAATTTGAAGAAAAGATTTTTGCATATTTTAACGGATGCCAGTGATCAATATTTAGGTTGACATCTGAATGTTCAGCAATGGTAGTGTACGGACCAGTGTAATCCGCGGAGAAGTGTTTATTAATTTGTTCGAGATTACGTGACGATTGCATTACGTTTGAATCGGAAATTATATTTGTGTTTATACTATCGGCGAAGTTTATTGAATTTATGGTATCAGGAACATTAGCCTTATCAATAGTAGAATGCAATAAAATTGAGTCTATATTCATATTATTATCGGCCGCGTCATTAGAGGAGTGAGATAACGAGATATCGTAATTGAATGTACTGCTGGACATATTTAGAACTGGTGGATTAATATTGATCTGCTGTAGAGTGGGAGAAATGGGGCTAGTTGGATTTGATACCTTTTTAGTTTGAGAAGCTTTTTTGCTGGTCTTAATGGTCCAATCCTGATCCATGTTGTGCAATCTGGAGGCACTGGATGGCTTTTTAACCTTTCCGATTGAGCTGTTGTAATCCAGCGGACGATTGTCGCCGCCGCCCGAAGACGACGCCGGCATTGTACAAAAGGCGTCAGCAGAATGTAAATAACGGAGCGACGAATTAACTAACGACTAACTTCGATGGTTGACTTATCGCGAATAAAAGATTTATTCAATCACTTTTTTGTAAATGAACAACACGGTTTTTGTCGTGCAAAATCAAGATCGACTATTGCATTAATATTTTATTCCTATTTGGCTGAAACCGTTGCTTCAGGGGGACAGGTTGATGCTATCTACACCGACCTCCATAAAGCCTTTGACAAAGTGGACCATGGTCTTCTTCTGGCTAAACTACATAAATTAGACTTAAGATATCCAGTTTTATCATGGTTTTCTTCTTATTTAAGTAAACGCTCCCAATTAATACAAATTGGTAATTCTATTTCTAATATTATTAACGTTACGTCAAGAGTTCCACAAGGTGGTCGTTTATCCCCATTGATTTTTCTATTATTTATTAATGACCTAAATAAATGTTTCAATACTTATAATTTTCTACTATTTGCCGATGATATGAAATTATACATGTCTAATCGTTCTGATGAAGATACCATTTCCTTACAACACGATTTAGATCAATTCTCATTATGGTGTTCATTAAATGGCATATTCCTTAATACCTCTAAATGTGTTCATATTTCTTTCAACCGCTCTAAATTCCATATAAATTCATTATATAAATGGCGTCCCTCTTAATTCTGTTAATCAAGTACAAGATCTAGGTATTATTCTGGCAGTCGATTTATCCTTTAATGTACATATAAATAAAATATATGGGACCAGTCTTCGTATGTTAGGGTTCATCAAACGTACATCCCATGATTTTAATAACCCTATATGTTTGAAAGTTTTATATTGTTTATTAGTAAGATCATCATTTGAATTCGGCACGGTATTATGGAATCCAAATCAATTACAATTTATCAGCAAATTAGAAAAAGTCCAGAGAAATTTCCTCCGTTTTTATGCGTATAAAATAATGAGATTAAACCAAAATATAGATGAGATTGCAAACTTTGCAGGTTTAAAGTCACTTAAGACCAGACGGTTAGTTTTTGATGCTACTTTTGTTTATAAAATCTTGAATGGAGAAATTGACTGTCCTGAACTATTACAAAAATTTTTAAAGTACCCTCTTTCAATTCTAGACATAACCCTCCTTTTACTATACAACAGTCAAAAACAAATTACTTTTCTAATAGTCCGATGTGTCGTTTACCAATGTTATGCAATCAACATAAATATTTTGATTTTTTTTTTTTTGATTCTTGCACCACGTTAAAGACTTGTATTTATAATTCAAATAATTAATATACATTTTCACTTAATAATTATTACAATATTCCTACCCCTTAGGATGTTTGTTTATTTATTGATTTTATAACAATAAATATTATTATTATTATTATTATTATTATTATTATTATATAATTGTCAAGCTTAATGATTTATTAATTTAAAACCGAGTTTAGTATGATTTGTGTAAATTGGTGTTCAAAATATTATTTTATGATCGATAAAATAATTCATAGAAAACATTTGAGTATTTTTCCTTAATTCTTTTTTATAGAATAAAAACAAATAAATATTTTTATGCAAACATGGATTATGGATATACAGACATAATAATTTTCGCAATTGCATGCTTTTGGGTTAGGCGTGGTGTTTAAAATACCCGCGGGAAGTTGGAGATGCGTTAACACGCCGGAAATTGTTTTTGAATATCTTCATATGCAAATGATTTGCAAAAATTCGCACTACCTATCCCGAAAATAACATGACACTTTACCGTGCACCAAAACCGCTTACAGATTTGTATATTCCCACGTTCCCCTCTCCCCCCCCAACACACATACTGAGTTAAAAGTTACGATTTTCAAACTTTATCCTATGCCAATATTTAGCTCGCTGTTTACCATCAGAATTTACACGATTTCCTACGAAATTTGTTTCCACCGTTATAATCGGACTTGTGCTCTAATTTCGATTTGTACTTCGTTCGATTCGATTAATGCACACGCGTGTAGTTTATCAATTATCATAATTACTATACACATTATACATGTCCGTTCTCCGAACGTAGATTATGTTATTGCGCGCGCACACAAGCGTTAATAACAATAATAATAATAATAATAATAATAATAATAGTAATAATAATGCGATGCGAAGACCGCTGTGGGATTCGCATGATACGTTTATTATATTTTTTTTATCGCCGTTGAATGGAAGTCCTTCGCGCGCGTACGTTTCTTTTTATCGGTCGAGTGTATTCGGTTTGACGTCTATAACTGGTCCCGCGACCGCAAAACGTTTTCATTTACCGCCGAGTCGAACGCGCGCGCGCATCACGCTCCGTGTACTGCCCCGTACGTGTACGTATATTCACGCAAACGTTGCGAGACGTCGTGAGCGAACACGTCTTTACCAACGCCGCTGCCGGTCACATTCGCTCAACAACGACAAACCTAAATTAAGCCCGGTGGTGATTACTTAGCCGACAAACGCGTCACGTACAACGTACACACTTACACTGCGTCGAACCTGTGGACACATCACGCCGTACCATCGAGTGACATCACTATCATCATCGTCATCATCGCTATCGCCGTCGTCATCATGTTCAACGGGTACTACGGTTCGACATCCGAGAGCAGCGACAGCGACACGCCGATGGATGACGGCGAGTCCGTCCGAACTATGGACCTGAACTACCTGCTGCTGGACGGCGACACCATCCAGAAGCACTTGGAGGAGGTGTGTGCGCGGAACCGGCCGGACGGCATCGACGCGATGTTGCTCAACCACAACGCGATGCTCGCCCTGCCGCCGGCCATCAACAGGTTCCAGCACCTCCGCGTGCTCGACATCAGCAACAACCGGCTGACGCGCGTGCCCGACTTCGTGGCCCAGCTGCCGCTCAACACGCTGGTGGCCAAGAACAATCTGATCGACGACGACGGGTTCCCAAAGCAGCTGGCCAACGCCGCCCACTTGAAGGTGCTCAACATCAGCGGCAACCGGTTGTCGCATTTCCCCGAGCAACTGTTGTCCGTCACCACCCTCGAGTACCTGTACATGGGCAGCAACAACTTGGTCGAGATACCCAGGGAAATCAACAAGCTCATCAGGTACACGCGTTACGGGATTTTTTTTTCTCGTGCGCTACACTCCGCACGCGTCGCACCCGCACGTTCGACGTCGCGTTACGTCGTGCTTGCCGTACAGAAAGCGCGTTTACTCTCATGATTCGTTGCACGTTACCTGAACCGTTTTGTATGCGATAGCTCCGTCGATTGCGCATGATTCGTACGTTCTGGACACGTGCACGCAGTATTTCCGATAAATAATAATAGAAATAGTAGAAAAAAAATCTAATCACAATTATTGCGCAACACTTGCGCGATTAATGACTAACTATAACACGATTGTTTGGGTTCGAGTACCTCCGAATCGTAGTGCCGTCTGTGCGCGGTCGTACAGTTCAGTGGTGTATTGGAAGGTTAGGTAGATACAGCCGTATCTAGCGTATAGCTTGTAATTTGACAAATATAAATAATACAACTTGTGGTTATATTTGTGACATGATTCGGTATCAGATATATTATAATTATTTTTTTTATTTTTTTTTAATGAAATATTCAAATTTATTATAATTTAACAACAAATTTTTGGTATCAAGCAGTCATAATTAAGGATGTGGAGTTTATGAGCGAGTTTTTTTGGCACCTACCATATGATAGTTACTACATGAAATAAGACGTATACCCATGATTTATTTTAGCAATCACTGGTACAGTTAACAATTATTTGCCCTGTGCGAATGTCTCCCCTTCGAATTACGTTTAAACGCGTTCCTGTGCGCAGTACAAGTATACGCGACGGAAACACTAGGCCAACAAATTTCGCTGGCGATCAATGTACACCACTCCTATTGTAATAAATCGTATGAACGCTGTGTCTTGTGTTCAATGAAGAATGTTTGCCCGTCTTTTAACATTTCAGATTACACCGTCTTTCACACTGTACGCTGTAAAAATAATTACGGGCCGTATACGTAGCGACGATGGTTGACAATCGAGACAAAGTTTCAACTGTCGCATCAATTACTTTCGCTTAACTCACAAGATCAATCGATTTCAGCTGTTCATTGTTATTGTTCGCTTGACAATATAATTGGAATTTAAGATTTTCTTATGATCTCAGATCATTATGTTTTTTTAACTAGGAAGAAGTTAAAAAATTAGGAATTACTTATTGTTTGTTATGAATTATTTCTGAAGTATCTACGACTTATGTTCCTAATTTTTTAATTTTTTTTACAAGATCAAATTAGTTTATTTAACGAGGAAAAATTTAAGCTTACGTAGATCTTTAATTTGAGAAATATTATAGTTACTGTAAAATTAAAATTAGTGATCAATTCGTGAGGAATTGTTTTTGATTTATTTTGTTAACAAAGATGTCATAAGAGAATTTCGATTATTAACTTGTTAGATTAAGTTGGTAAAGTAATAATTATTGTTGGTTTTTTTATAATACAATACATAAACCATGTTAATAAACCATGAATGATAATAAATGTTTTTTTGTTGCATACGTATTAATAATTATTATAATGTATTAAATCACGTGTTTTAAGTATACTCCTGTATACTCGCGGACTACACTTTATACTTATAATTTTATTTAGAAAATACTTAAATAGATGGAAGACCAAAAACAATATTATACGTCAGTAAAGTAGGTATAGAGAAAATAGTTTTGAAATCAGTACTTGATAAAGATAAATGCAGTGGCGTATACAAGGGGGGGACGTGGGGGTCAAATCCCCCCATTAGCTTTTTATTATTTATTTTTTGTTTTTCCTTATATTATATAGTATGCAGTATAAAAAAATATTTTGTGATGTGAATCTATCGAGCTATTGAATTTTGAAAATTTAGTCAACACTGAAAAACCATTATAATTTTATTTTCGTTTATTTACAGCAAAGTAATGTTTATTTGGTATTTTGGTCGAAATGCCAATGACGACTATGATTATACTTTATTATAGCTTATCTTATAATTTATAGAGACAATACTATGTATATAACAATATGTATGTAACCTGGGCTTTAAAATATCGGATACTATCGTTGTTATGAGAAAAGAGAATGAGATCATTATCGTTACGGATTTAGTTCACCGCGTATACATAGTACATTCTATTTATTTATCTGAAACCTAAAAATAAAGAAATTCACGGGATAATTGATAATTTATTGAACCTATCATGGATTCGTGGAGAAACATAGTTCATAATTGTACCCACATTTACAAAAATAGCAGTGCCGTCAGACGTCAGATTGTTCCTATTGTTAAATATTTTACTATCTAAAATTTTTTAAAAAATTATAAAATAGTAAAAAAAATTTGAGATGGGAAATTTTTTCAATTTTTCCATCCTATTTAGTTATGTCGTTTTCTTTTTTTGATCCCCCCCTTTCAGAAATCATGTCTACGCCACTGGATAAATGTCAATATATTTATTTTATATATTTTGTAATATATTATATATATATATATGTAATGTAGTTACCAGCCTCCGAAAATTGATGAGAAACGCGTTTTAGTTTAAAAAATTACTTTTTAATTTTGATTTAATACTTCAATTATTATGATTTCCTAAACTTGTTTGCTCATGTCTAATAAAAAGATTAGTCTTACTATTTACTACTAAATAATCCATTTTTCCATTTTATTATATTATTACTATTAATAAGACATGTGAAATTAATATTTTCGTTAAAAAACATTATTTTTAAGATCATTTTATAATTACGTAACACCAGTTTTGTGCTTAGATAAAAAAATTTATCTAGATATAGATAGATAAAATAATTTTTACCTAGATATTTATATAAGGCATCAACATTTTCATCCGTTTGTAGGCGAACTCTTTTAGTCTTGGATAATGATTGTATTATGTAACGATCCATTTCAAAATATAAAATATTTTACCAATAAAATAAAATTGAAAGTTACAGACAAAATTATGAAAAATATGAAGACGATCTGACGATAAACACTGAACACGTTGTGGATGGAGTACGCTGCGTACAGTACAAGTTTTTAATAAATAACGGAGTCTCACGTCTAATATTTATTTTGTTGTACAATAATATTATGTAGACACGTCAAAGTACGAATTCATAGAATTGGGGTCCGGTAATGACAATTATTTAGAGCACATGATTACATGAACAATGGACATAATTTATATATAAATATTGAATTTAAGACGGTCGAATGATGATGGAAAACGATCAATTTCTGTGTAGGTACAGCGTAATATTAATATTGTAATGCGTATTGTAATATTGCTATTTTCTTATCGACAATTATTTCTGTATTTATAAACCATCTACCGCGCAGCTGCAATAATACTAGTTTAGACCTATGGTGCGTTATCTCTGGTTCTAATATTCTTGTAAATGCTCTTTCGGCGTTCGTAATACCACAGAACAATAGTAATATGGGCATGAGACTTCCCCGTATGGGCCATATTATGAAATTATAAATAATTCTTACCTCCCATGCATATTATGTAGGTAATATATGTCTATATACATAATAAATTGTCATTGTTCATAATTAATAATAAATTTTATGTAAAACTATTTTAGAACCAATTTTTGCAAGTAAATATACAAATGAAATTTCTTATTTAGTTATTTATTTTATATTGAATGATAAAATAGTAGATTAGTTATTACTAACGATTAGGTACAGATTTTGTGAATTATCTAGATGACTATGATTTTTATCTAGATGAAAATTAGATGTCAATTTTTTTTTATCTAGATAAGATAACGATATGAAGTTTTTATCTAGATAACATGTCCAGATAAATTTATCTAAAGCACAACACTGCGTAACACTCAATAAATGTAATAAAATCGAAAAATCTTTTAATAATTCAGATAATGTACTCATTGATAAAATTTTATAAAATATTATTTACTAATCACATGATTACATAATATATGCAATTGTTCCTTTTAGGCCGTAATAGTTAATTTACTTAATATTTATAAAGTATTGATGAGCTGATGTCGGTGTAATATTTTATTTTCATTGGAGTGTTAAACTTTAAGTGTAATTAGCTATTACAGTTTCGTTGCATGGTTCCTGTTAAAAGTTATCAAAATTAAATCTGTTTAACAAATATTTTTCTTATTTTTATACACGATATAGTGATATCGTTAGTAAACTCATCACCAAATGTGTTTTAATACTATACATGTTGCTTTGTGTAACAGGACTATAAAAATTATTAAATAAATAAAATTTGCAGTACATTATTTACAACTGTCTACTAATTTTCGCCACTAATCAGAGGATAATGTTTTTATTTCAGGTTGAAGTTTTTGTGTTTAGGTGGAAATCACCTATCAGAAGTACCCTTGACGTTGGGTATGTTAGACAATTTGAAAGCACTGAACTTGAGCGACAATGCACTGGAGAGTTTGCCGCCGGCCATTGCCAATCTTAAACATCTTAAATCATTGATGTTACACAAAAACAGACTTCGCACACTACCCATAGAAATCATATCATTGAAGTGCCTCTCAGAGGTAAATACATTTGAAACAAAATTGTTTCTTTATATACATTTATATAAAAAATTCATTATATGGCTTTTTTTGGCCTTTATTATATATTTACGTGGGCCGGCGAGCAATGGCCCGGTCTTCGCCATAAGCTATTGAGTGAGTATCTAGACTCATCAACATTAAAGAATTAATTAAAAACATAATAATATAATAAGTTAAGGTTGATAATAATTTTTATAAGGTACAATAACTTGTCAAATTAAAGCAACGGGTTTGAAATAGCGTGTCTAATACAATTGCTATCGGTTTCTACAACGGTTTACAATATTTTTACCTAGCGTTGCCTCACGTTTTTAATAACTGTTGAATGTTACATGATTATTATTTCATATCTGAAATAGGGAACCAAGGCTGAGTTGAACTATTCTGTGGGCGTAAACTTTGTGATCTTTGTTATTGAATTAAATTGTGTATATATTTGTAGACTCATTAAATGATGAAGTTTGAACTACACCAGTCTGGCACGAGACTAGGTATAAAATTGCTCAATATTTATTGAACTATGTAAATAGACGTAATATAGGTATCAAAAGTGTATACAAAAACAAATTTTCAGTTAATATAAATAATTTATTTTATTTTATTGTCTTACGTTAAAATATTTATTTTGACATGCACTAAGTGATTTTTAAATATTCATAGTTAATTATAGTAGGTAATACTTATCTTCGAACTCCCCGGCCTAGCCGGCGGTCGTTCTTATCCTATCTCATTAATAATGACCCGCACTAATAGACCGTCATCGAGCAGTTCTCACACTACCATTAAACATACGAACACAATAAAACCAAATCTGTCTAATAATAATTCGAATCGTACACATTACGTTTCAACATTATCGGATACTTCAAATGATGTCTTTACGGACGATATTCCTAATGACCCAGATTTTAAATTAGTCACATATAATTCAAAACGTAATCTTTCTTCTACCAGCCCAACCGGAACACCCGACAATAAGAAATCAAAACCCGTCTTTGTCAGTTCAAATAGATTTAACCACCTCCAAGTACCGGACAATGATAATGATAATGTAAACAATATTGAAACGAATAATGTCGATCAACCAAACCACATCCCGTTACCTCCACCAATATTTGTACGAAACGTTTCTGATTTCATTGAATTAAGAAATCAATTAATAAAGCTGATCGGCCCACAGTCCTTCAGCTTTAAGTCATCAGTCAATAACCTTAAAATTAACACTACCAACCCTGACTCGTACAGAGAAGTCATAAAATACCTGAAAATAGGCAATGCCGAATATCACACTTATCAAGCCCGTGAAGATAAAGCTTTTCGTATTGTCATACGCAACTTGCATCCGTCTTCTTCAACTTCCGAAGTAGGTGCTGCCATTGAAGATATCGGATATTCTGTCCGCCAAGTTTCAAATGTTATCCACATATCTTCAAAACGTCCCCTCCCAATATTTTTTGTTGACCTTAAACCCGCTCAAATCAATAATGAGATTTTCAAATTGACCTCGCTGCTTCATACCAAAATAAAGGTAGAAGAGCCACATAAAAGACGTGAAATCGTTCAGTGTTCCAAGTGCCAAGAATATGGCCACTCTAAAGGATACTGCGCTCATCCTCCCAGATGTGTTCGTTGTGCTGATTTCCATCCCACTACACAGTGTACACAATCAAAAGATACTCCTCCAACCTGCGCCTTATGTAGAGGAAACCATACCGCAAACTACCGAGGATGTTCAGTCCATAAAAGCTTACAGCGTTCAAACTTCAAATCAAATTCAAATTTAAAAAATCATGTAAATAATAACACTATTGTAAATAAGCAGGAAACGCTATCCAGTGTAACGACCCATTCCCCCTCCTAACATGAATGACAACAAAATTTTTCCTAACCTTACACAAAATCCTCAAAGCCATAGCTCTTTAAGTAAAACTGATTCCCAATCTAATTCCACCGATAGTATCTCAAATAATCAACTTTCATCTTTTTTAACCGAGTTCAAACAACTGATTAATCCACTAATTCAATTACTCACCACTGTAATAAATAAACTTATTTCACATAATGACAAATAATCTCACCAACAATAAAACTCTTAAAATCATTCTTTGGAATGCCAACGGACTCAAACAGAATGAGTCCGAACTACTTAACTTTCTTATAGTAAATCAAATCGACATAGCTCTAATCACCGAAACTCACTATTCAACTAATTCCAGTCATTTTTTCCCCGGCTTTAATACTTACTGTTGATGTTAATTTAAATATGTGATTATGTTTGTGTAATTTTTGTTGTTGTTATCATTTTCGTGCGATGTGTAGCGGTGCGTTGCGTATCCGTAGCCATCGTCGGCGGTGGTGATAAGCCTCCGTGTGCGACCGGCCGGGTACGTAATCGCGCTGTTATCGTCGCGCGTAAATGCCCGTTATTTCCACGTTTTCAAAGGTTTTCGGTTATGTTTTTGTAAAAGTAAAAGTCATGTTCTCAGTGCCACAAAGTTTCATAAGTTCTCGTGTATTTTTGGTTTAGTGTGGTGGCACTGAGACATTTATCTTCATTGTGGTGTTCGGCGACCTGAGCCTTCGTGTTGAATGTCGTCGGCACCAGCTCGCTCTCTTTTCGTGTTCGTCGTGGTGTGCACACCAATTCTTTCTGCTGCTGTTTCGGGCGTTGGTCTACAGCCATCTTCTTCAAACCACGTTTTTCTGTGTTTTTGTTTTGTATCGTGTCGGCTGTTTGGTAAGTGTCGTTCAGCGCAATTTGTATTGCCTTTCATTAATTGTCCCATATTCTAGGGTGGTCACTTGCCAATAGCCATTGTGCAAAACGTGGTTTCATCGTGTTTGTTCTTTGTCAGCGCTGTAGACTTCGTTGGTGATTGTGAGTATTGGTCGACCATATTTGTGCTATTTATTTGTTTAAGGCCGACGGGCCTATCCGCCAAGGGCATTGTTATTATTATATATGATTGTATATTTATTTATTGTTTCGTGTGGGCCACACCCTTGAATTATTTATTATTATTGTTGAGCCGTTGTAGGGCCACATATTTATTTAATTATTCAATTATACAGTTTTTATTATTCAATTTATGTTTAATTTATTTTATGGCGAACAAGTATGTTCTATATTATTTAAAACACTTGCCGCGCCAACACTTACAAAACCAACCATCCAGATGGTACGTCTCACGCGGGTTCCGCAATTCTAATATCTTCCATAATCCAACATCATCCTCTGCCGAGTTATCAAATCCCCTCTATCCAAGCAACCAGCATTTCAATTTCAATAAATCATACTCCTATTACTGTTTCTGCAGTGTACTGTCCTCCTTCACCTCAAATATCTCAACTCCACTTAGATCAGTTTTTTTACTCCTTAGGGCGCAACTTCATCGCCGGTGGTGATTTTAATGCCAAGCACCCCCTATGGGGCAGCCGTGTCGAAAATCGTAGAGGATACCTATTTTATAATTCCATTCAAATGAACGGCTTTTCAACTATTTCACCCCCTGGTCCTACTTACTGGCCTACTCATTCGAACCGTCAACCTGACCTACTGGACTTTTTTATATCGTCAATACCCAACCATATAAATCATACTATTCAAAACATATGTGACCTATCTTCTGATCATTCACCCGTTCTACTAAAAATTATGGAGCTCCCAACTCTAACTCCTTCGTGTCCCTCCCTTTCCAAAGGTCCAATTAACTGGAAACAATTTTCATCAAAATTAGAAAATTCTACGAACCTAAAAATTTCCCTTAAAACATGCAATGAAATTGAATCCGCAGCTCATCAATTAGTTAAATCAATTCAATCAGCTGTCTACGAGTGCTCTTATCCTTCCAATCAGAAATGTCACTCAAATCTCAAATCTTTTATCCTGCCTCCGAATATAAATATTTTAATTGCTGAAAAACGCAGGGCTCGCTCCCGTTGGCAAAGATCTAGACTACCTTCAGACAAGTCAGCTTTCAATAATCTATCTAACACCATTAAAAAACTAATCCAAAAATACAAAAATGACCTTTTTGTCACAAAATTTAAATTTTTAAACACACAAGACGGTACATTGTGGAAAACAACTAAAAACATGCTAAAATTAAAAGAATTCTCTTGTCCTATTGAAAAAGCAGATGGATCGCTCGCTCTTTCAGACTTAGATAAGGCCAAACTTTTTGGGGAACACCTCTCGAATATTTTCAAACCTCACCTTGATATTACTCCAAGTACCACACAACTAGCCAAAATAAAAGATTTTCTTGATGCTCCACTACCAATGTCTCTCCCTATTAAACATGTCTCCCCATATGAAGTTGCTAACTTGATCCAAAGATTGAAGCCCAACAAATCCCCAGGTCATGACTTAATAACAAATAAGATTTTAAAATATCTCCCCAAAAAAACAATCCTTTTGCTAACTTTCTTATTTAATTCCATGTTAAGATTGTCTTATTTCCCTACCATCTGGAAATTATCAATTGTTATCCTCATACTTAAACCAGGAAAACCAACCAATATTGCAACCTCATATAGACCCATTAGTCTACTCCCAGTGATTGGTAAGCTATTCGAGAAGATTATTTTAAAAAGACTTAGACCAATAATTGAATCACATAAAATTATTCCCGACGCTCAGTTTGGTTTTCGAGCACACCACTCCACTATACAACAGGTTCACAGACTAGTCGACAAAATTTCTTCCTCCTTCGAAAATAAAAACTATTGCCCGGCAGTCTTCCTAGATGTGGCTCAAGCCTTTGACAGGGTTTGGCACAATGGCTTACTATATAAACTGAAACTATTCCTCCCTGCTCCACTTTACTTACTAATTCGCTCTTACCTTGAAAATAGAACCTTTAAAGTTCGTCAAAGCAATTCTTTTTCTTCTGTCTTTCCAATCCTAGCAGGTGTTCCTCAAGGAAGCGATCTCTCTCCTGATCTCTACAATATTTTCTCTTCTGACATCCCTCAAA